TTCTTGTTACAGTGGATGTTGTTTTTTCTCATTAATTGGATATTTTTTATGGGTTTGTTTGTTTTGATTATGCTTGGATTTTCTATGTTTTGTTTTTAGCAGAGCCACTAAAATTATCAATTTTTTCTCACGTATACCTTACTATCACCAGGTTCAATATACAATTAGACACGATTTTTCTAGCCAAATTGAGTTCTTTGAAGAGCGTATACCCAACTTTGATTTAGTGTAAGTTTTTTTTTAGGAACCGGTAATCCTATTTTTTATGTTAAATATGCTTTTATATATCAATTTTTTTTAATAATTTTGCTTTCATATGTTAGTGTGGTTTACGTGTAAAAATTTAATTTTGGTTTCTAATTATTGCTTCAACATATTGTTATTTTTATTTATTTTTTAAATAGAAAACAATAAAAATTTATAATGTTTTGATTTTAGGTTGAGCCACGAACAAAATAAGAAGAATTGATTCCTTTTTTGAGAAAAAGAGGAAAAATATTGATAACTCACAGCCTAGTGAATCAACTTAAATGTGTAATGTTGAAGTTATGGTTGAACAACCCCAATGTGCTTCAGTTTATGAAGAACCTGCATTGATTAATGAGCAGCCTCCTACTACAATCGACATTGCTCATCTGATTAGAGATCCAAGCAATCGTCCTCAAATTTGGGAATACCCGGTTAATCAACAAGATGAAATTAGAAGGGCATACATTAATTTGGGGCCATATCAACCTTTGATGTCTGAATATCCGCTGACTGGTAAAAAACATCCTCGTCGATTTCAATCTCATTGGTTCAAAAGTTATCCATGGCTTGAATATTCAGAGAAAAATACTGCATTTTGTTTTCCTTGTTATTTATTTCAAATAAGTCATCTGGAAAGCCAGGATCAGACACTTTTATTGTTAAAGGATTCAATTGTTGGAAGAAAGTTAATGATGGGGAACGATGTGCTTTTTTAACTCATATGGGAAAAGGTCCAAATTCAACTCATAGATTTGCTACCAGGTGCTTGGAAAATTTAAAAAATCAGTCATGTCATATTGAGAAGGTAGTTAAGAGGCAAACTACTCAAGAAATTCTAAATAATCGACTACGTGTTAAAGCTTCAATAGATATTGTTTGTTGGCTTACATTTCAAGCATGTGCTTTTAGAGGACATGATGAACATCCAGAATAAAAAAATCGAGTTAATTTTCTTGAAATGTTGGAACTTTTAGCATCATATAATGAACAAATAGGTGCTCTTGTTTTGGATAATGCTCCACAAAATGCTAAATACACCTCGCATCAAATTCAAAAGGAAATTTTGCATGTCTTTGCTAGAAATGTTCAGTCTTCAATTCATCATGAGATTGGTGATGCAAAATTCTGCTTAATTGTTGATAAAACTCAAGATGAATCTAGAAGAGAGCAAATGGCCCTTGTTATTAGGTTTGTTGATAGAAGTGGATTTATACGAGAACGATTTTTGGATATAGTTCATGTCAAAGACACAACTGCTTCAACTCTTAAGAAAGAGATTTCCTTTGTTTTATCTCATCACAATCTTGATGTTCAAAATATTAGAGGCCAAGGGTATGATGGTGCTAGTAATATGCGTGGAGAGTGGAATGGATTGCAAGCTTTATTCATTAATAATTGCCCTTATGCATATTATGTACATTGCTTAGCTCATCAATTACAATTGGCTCTTATTGCTGCAGCTAGAGAAATTTCTGATGTTCACACTTTTTTTCAGAACTTGATTTTTATTATTAACATTGTTAGTGCTTCTTGCAAGCGTAATGATGAATTACGGGCTTTTCAAGCAGCTACAATTGAACATTTAATTGATATTGGTGAGATTGAAATGGGTAAAAGAGTTAATCAAGTAGGTGGTTTGCAACGACCTGGAGATAGCAGATGGAGTTCACACTTCAAATCCATTTGCAGTTTGATAAAAATGTATGGGGCAACTTGCTTGGTTCTTGAAAACATCTCTTTAGATGGATCTACTTATTCTCAACGTGGTGATGTGGCCTTTTCATTTAAGTTGCTAATGTCATTTGATTTTGCATTCATCTTGCATATAAGGAAGAATGTTATGGGAATTACTGATGTGCTTTGCCAAACTTTGCAACAGAAATCTCAAGACATTTTAAATGCTATGTATTTGGTGACTACCACAAAGACTTTAATTCAGAAGTTAAGAGATGATGGCTGGGAAACTCTTTTAGAAGAAGTGACATCATTTTGTAAGCATCAAGACATTGAAGTTCCTGATATGGATGCTTGTTTTTCTAGTGTGGGACGATCTCGTCGTAAAACAAAATCAATAACAGTTGAGCATCACTATCGAGTTGATATATTTACAGTTATCATTGATCAACAGTTGCAAGAGCTAAATAATAGATTCAATGAGCAGACGATTGAGCTTCTTAAGTTGAGCGCAGCTTTAGATCCTAAAAATAACTATAAATTATTCAGTGTTGAAGATATATGCTTACTTGTTGACAAGTTCTATCCTGAAGACTTTTCTGACCAAGAAAAAACTCATTTGAGATTTCAGTTGCAGCATTATGAGCTTGATGTGCCCAATCATCGAAAGTTAAAGAATATGTCATCGATTGCTGATTTATGTCAAGGATTGGTTGAAACTGAAAAATCAACAATTTATCCACTCATTGACAGGTTGATTCGGCTTATTTTGACTCTTCCTATTTCAACAACAACAACTGAACGAGCTTTTTCAGCGATGAAGATTGTTAAAACAAGACTTCGCAATAGGATGGAGGATGATTTTCTTGTAAATTATTTGATTGTCTATATAGAAAAAGAAATTGCTGAAAGATTCACAATTGATATGATAATCGATGATTTCTACTCCATGAAAGAACGACGAGCACAATTAAATTAAATATGTAAGATTTATTTTTTTTATTATTTTTTACTTTATTTCTAAGTTTTATCAAACATAAATAATATATAGCTTTAACTAATGTTTCTTATATATTTTCTATATTTATATTTGATAGGTACAAAGACCAGCAAAATTAAAGTGATGAATACATTATGAAGATGACATTAACTTCATAGCTTCGACTCAATGTGGTATTGTTTTAAACTTTTTATTTTATACAAAGATCGTCATATGTTTGTAGTTATTTATTTGAATAAAACTAAATTATGCAATTTTTTTTATTGTTACAATTTATGTATAATAAATTAAAAATAAATATTTTTTTATATTATTTTGGCCCCCTGTTAAGTAATCTTGTGTTTTCTCTTTTATCTGTTGTTCAGGGAATGGAGGAGCTGGTGTAACTGGCTACCTCCGCCCCTGCTGATGCCTGAAAGGGTGTTGTACTGCTGCTGGAACTGGAAGAGGCGCGCGTTACCGGTTGTGGATGCATGCTCATGGTGCATGGAAGTAGCTAAGTTGCTACTAATCTTGACGATGCTGGTTTCATCCGCTGTAAAAGTTTTCATGCCCCTGCATCCGATCAAAACTTGTGCTTTTCCAAGCAAAAACCATGGTCCCTTTAAACTCAGCAGATCTTCGAAGTAAGGAGGATCACATGCCAATGTAGTTCATGGTTCTGGTATAGAGGCAGACATGGCAGAGATTAATGGTGATTGGGACCACAGCCTAGAAGGTGACCGAGAGGAAGATGATCTCGGGCCTTTATTTGCTTCGTTTTTTTTTGTGAGGAGCTTTCAGCTCCCGAGGGTTGAGACTGAAGAATGAAAAGTCAGTCTGATGGGGAAGAGA